GCGGGTAGTTGTTGACATCTGTTTAGGGGAGTCTGTTCTAAGTTAGTAAACCAGCTTTCCAGAGTCAGTCGTTGAAAATAGTCAGTGCTGTAGGTTAGGCATTGCGCAGAGTCCCAGTCAATGTTGTGGTTGGTAAGTCGATGGTGTTCAGCAATGTGATTGCTGACATCACCTTTCCTCGTCGCCCGTCTGTGTTCAGTCAGTCTTGTTGTGAGGTTTCTGCCAGTCTCACCGAGGTAGGAGGCTTGGCAGTCGGAACAATTGATCTTATAAATCGTTCCCTGTCTCTTCCTCGGTTCGTCTTTGTCATGAGACAAATCCCACGAATTTTTTTTGAGATAAATTAACTAGTTGGACCGAAAGCTAGACAAATAAACAGTTAACTGACAGTAGTGAAGGATTTTGGGGCCATGTGATAAATGAGTTTTACCGAAGTTTTTCCTCTAATTACCACTTCAAGCTCGAAAAGGCAATGATAAAAACTACCACTAAAACACAGGGAAAAAATAAGCCAAAAGAGGAGTTGATTGAGGCAAGACCATAACCATTGCCTACCTACCATGTACAACAGACTTGGAGAGCAAAAGAGCCAAAGATGGTTTTGGGTCATGACTTGGAAAATTTACCAAAACCTCCCAAAAATAATTCGCTGAAGGTTGTGGTAAGAGCATCTCAATCCTGAAGCTGGAACATTTTTTAAAGCCTTGTGTCCTATGTGACTGTACAGAGAACGAAAGGACGATGTTACTTAAAGTGATTTGATGCTTGGGGGCCACCTCAAACTTGACGCAATTTTACTTTGAAGTTGAAGTAAAAATAGATCAAAATCGAAACATCAACATCTTCAGACTAGCCTTCGAGGTTTGTGATCTCATGTGCACATGTGATCTTCAGTAAATCAAATCTAAAACTTCAAGGTTTTGGACTTTTTGGCGTTTTGTTCGCACTTTGATCATTAAAATATCCTCAACCACCATCCGCAAACACCAAGACTATCCACAGAGTTAGGAATATTGGTGAACTCGCCATACTCCTTCACCCATCCTCAAAAAGTATTACAAAAACGTTTCGTTTGTCCAGTTGAAAACTCCCAGAAGCGCGTTGAAAACATGAAAATGGCGCCGAACGCGCAAAACTAATTTCACTCGCGCATGCGCAGACAAAATGCCTCTCTGTTGCGTAAAGGGAGTTACTACATCGGGTATCGAGTGGAAAAGTCACGAGACCATATGAGGAAAATACTCTCAGACTGAGTGATACTATACACAACAAACGAAATGATAACAAGAACATTACATTTTATGCCAAAATAAAATGTTTTGAAAATCTCGTCACGCGGAGACGAACACAAAGAAAGCTTAAAAATGCAAATGTCGTGTTAAAGTTTCAAATATTCGCCTCATTTGTTGGAAGGGTCAGAGTTGAATTTGGCATTAATTCCCAAGCGTTCTGCATTTTTTGCCAGAAAACTCGCCTCGTTGAAGTCTGCTCAGTGGAGATGGTTCAAATTCTTTAGAGTATGCTTTAGATGCAACAACAACAACAACAACAACCTTTATTTATGTGTCAAATCTAAAATAGCAGTTATACAACCACTAACTGGGGACACTAAATACTACCTAAAAATTTGAGAAATTTAAAGATAAAACAATATATATGTACAATTTAAAATCTAACCTAAGTCTTACATAAAAGGCAGTTTTCACATTTACTATCAGTCAATTTAGAAACAAGGTCTATTCTACGTATGTTACATTTAAAAGATGATATGGATGTCAGTTCTCTTACATTTCTTGGTACAATTGCCCATATTTTGGGTCCCATATATCTAAGCGAATGTTTTCCAAAAGTGACAGTATTAAATCTAGGTATACCAAAATCATTATTACGCAGTGTGTACCTAAGTTGTGGAATTTGAAAAAGGCTACATATGTAATTAGGAGATAAATTGTTCTTTACCTTATACATAAGAATGGCTATATCCTGTAGTCTTCTGTTCTGCAGTGTACTTAGGTTAGCCATGTCTAATAATTTATCATAACTACTCCCCTTATCACAGTAAACTGCCCTAAGTGCCCTTTCTTGAATACGTTCCAATTTTCTAGTATCACTCGCCCTACAAAAATGCCAGACAAGATGGCTGTATGTTAAATACGGAAGAATGGCTGCCTTAAACAACTTCAGCTTGGTGTCTGTTGGTATCATATTCCTGAGCCTCATCAGGACTCCAACACGCTGGCTACTCCTCTTACAAATGTTAGCAATGTGTTCATCAAATTGAAGCCTATTGTCTATATATACCCCAAGAAGTTTTAAACACTTGGTAGATTTAACTTCATTGTCATCAATTATAATACTATCCATATCATTATTTTTATTCCCAAGTGTCATTGTCTGATACTTGTCATAGTTCCCTTTTAAGAAATTCGATCTATACCATCTGGAGGCTAATTCGGCACTTGCTATTAACTTATCATGCACCTCAGTAACATTACTGCCTGCAGCATGGAACTGGTGGTCGTCTGCATACATATTGATATTAGAATTAGAATTTACACTGTATGTCAGATCATTTTGGAACATGTTCCATATCAATGGTCCAAATGCGGAGCCCTGTGGACATCCCCTTGACCCCCTCTCCCACTCACTCACTGTGGATCCCAACTTCACCCTATTGTACCGATCAGTGAAGTAGGAGTCCAACAATTTTAGAGAAAGATCTTGCTTCGCGTGAACTCAGTCAATTAGTTTCTTCTCGTCCTCAAGAACATCGCGATCTGTCACCGCGGCAAACCATATTTGTCAGGTAGGTGCTCCAAATTGTGCTGAAGTGCTTGTATAATATTTATTTTTGGAATGAAACACTTTTTTTCGAGTTCCTCTTTGAATTATATTTTACTCCTTGTTTAGAAGTTTTTCAAAATTCAGCAAAAATTTTAGAACTACCACTCCATTGTTTCAGTGTGAATGTTTACTCACTCTTCGGAAAACTTGAACCCTTTAAAACCTAAGAGTGATCAGTATCTAATTTCTCCCTACAATATCACCCCTGAATCACACATCAAGGTCAGGAGAATTAAGGAAATGATCACCAACTCAAGAAGCTCTTGATTGTTACACAAATTCTCCCTGGCAGCAGCATAGGAAATGTATAGAGAACAGTAAAGAAAACGAGCATTCTGATGTCAGGTCAGGGTGTAAAGGGTAAAGCAATTGCATAGCAACCGGTTAACACCAGTTAAACTCCAATAATGAGATTTCATGCTTCGTCTCTCAGTCGTAAAACCTATTTCCAATTGATATTACTGTAACATTATTTATTATTAAAACTGCAGTGTTTTGGAAGGATTTCCAGCCCTTCTAAGTGTCACAAAAGTACGTGAATTTTTACGATTGCTTTGATATCTCCAATCAGCTGCTGACACGTCACTCGCCTTTCACGCCACTCGGTCAGGTTGATAAATGAAAGGAACAACATTCACCATTCTCAATCAGAGGTCATTTTCTGAAATTTCTTCTCAGTAAAGGCCAATGGTGTTTATGCAATAAACAAAGTAATACATGGTTGTTTGTAGATGTGGTCTGTTAATTTCTCTCCTTGTTTTTAACTCAATATCTCACGGATGAGCGCAGCAATCTAGAAACTTGAACAGAGATTCACTGCATGCATGTTATCATGACCGATTGATTATAGAAGAGTTTGTAATCTCTTGTTTGTGGCCAATCAGGACGCTTTTGATTAGTTACTGAAGAATGTGGGTTTTGGTGATCTGCTTTAAATCAAATGAAACGTTTCCTTACATCCTCCCACACATGAATTCTTTGTCGGGTGAATAGAACTTTATCAAACTGTAACATTTCTACATCCACCATCAGCTCCGTACAATCCGCCAGAATACTACTTCGTCATGATTACATTTATATCCTTAATTAGGGGCGGGCGATCAGATCAAATGAGAAAATTTAGGATTATTATGGCAGTTTGTTGAGGCACTGGAAATTTTCATTAAAAAAAAATCCACTCATGACCTCTTAGGTGATAGATGTACATCTAGCATCAATATGCATAGTCTCGATACTGTCTTGAGTAGAATTTGTTTAACAATTGAGGGCTTCTGAGTTTGGCGATTATTTCCTTTATTCTTGTGACCTTACTGTTTGATTCAGGGGTGATATGGTAAGGAGAAATCACACGCTAGTCATTCTTAGGAGTCAATGGGTTTATGGGTTAATGGATAGTTATCTAGAATAAATCACAATTTTTTTTTAAATTTTATTTATTTAGGCAGATATGCTTGACAATATACAGTGACTTCACTGGATAGTTGACAGTTTACCAACCTAGGTTTGACTGATACATATCACTCAGTTGATGTTTGTCTTCCTGTCTTTCTTTATTACGTCAGTAACACCCTTTTTTTTCTTTCAATTTGTACGAGCTTCTGCAAAATTTACTTAGGAGTAGAGAGAGCAAAAAATCCAAATTAATAAATATGTGAGCCAGATACACATGCATCATCTGACCTGAGCACTTAGTACATGCGTGCCGTGGGGTAAATAAAATTTATGGCATAACATTGTCAAGTAATGCTGCCATCTACTAATTACTTAAGATCTAGCATATATTTTGGAGCAAATCAAGAGTAAGATATCGAAAGCAACTTCAAATTGGATAAATACAACTCAAGGCCTTGCATTGTTAAACTACACAACCTTCTGCTAAACATAGTGGAAGTTACAATTGCGATGAAATAAATCGTGAGTAAGATATCATTAGTAGATTTAGACTGAATAAATATGATTGATGGCTTTAAGCATTGTATTACAAGACAGCCATCTACTAAACATATCAGATATTACCACTGTGATCACAAAATCATAACTAAGATAACTTCAGGTTGAATAAGTATGATTCATGGCTTAGCATTGCTATACAACACAACCTGTTACTGAATGCTTACTGTAGGTAAGATACTGATGGTGACTACAAATTGAATAAATGCAAATTATGGCTTAGTATTGCTGTACAACAAGCCATCTACAAAATATATCATAAGACGTTAAGATTGAATAAAAGAAATCATAAGTAAGATAGCAATATATTGTCACTGATTTAAATTGAATAATTATGATTAATGGCCTAGCAATGTGATACAACACAGCCATCTACTGATGTCAGCGTTAGATTGTATAAATATGATTTATGGCTTAGCAATGCCAAAAAACACAGCAGTGTAGTTAAAATCTTACCATTTTTAACAACTGACATGTAAATAAGGGGCGAGAGTAATCTTTTCCCTAGCAGCCTATTAAGTTTGCCCGCTGTTCAGATCAGACCCTATATATTAAACAGCTTGCTATGCTGCTACTTTTTCTACACTTAGCACTAAGTGAACTAAAATTCAATCTACATCTGAAATAAATTTATAAAAGACTACTCAAAGGTTAACTACTTATCAAGGAAAAACCCTTAGAGATTAATGTAACGGGTAACTCTATCTGCCAGTCTTTTGGAATGACCTCTCGAGTTGATAACTTTAAGGCAACTGTATTTTGACGTTATTTACGAAAACGACCGCGGGTAACTACTTAATAAATTCCAAATTAAATTTGTTTCACAAAGAATGCACTCCTCTGAGAATACAATGTTATTGATTACACACTCGTTTCTTTTATGCCATCGATCGCTTCGTAAAACTGATCAAGGTCGCTGTCATCGTCGAACGTGGCCAGCGGTGCTCTTGGAGACTCTCGCCCTGAGGCTGCTGGGAGATTTTCATGTGCTTTGTGTTTATCTGTTGCATAATAACATGACACAAGGCAAAAAGAAGACATTCAGTAACTTGCCCTGTGTTAAATACTTACACTCTGCTCAGACTAATTCATAGCGAGATTGTTATATAAAGAGGGGCACCGTAGTACAACGCAAACCTCGCAAAGCGCTTCCCGAGAACACTATCTTGTCGCATTGCGGAAAGAAAAACAGTTCCAAGCCTTTCCAATGAGAATAAAAGTTATTTCACTATTCGAGTAAACCGCTCAATGTAGCTCATCTGGGTAACGAAGCTGACGAGATTGTAGAAACAAACAATTTGTTTAAGGAATAGCGAGGAGATGTTGTTCACTACTAGTCCTTTTCAAAGGAAGCGGAGGCTACAGCTGGTATACATACCCTTATTCGCGATAAACTGCTCGTCTTCCCCAGCTTCCTCGTTCATGCCATCTTCAGCTTGCTTCTCAGATTCTTCGAAGTCCTTTTTTGGTTCTTCGTCTTGTTTGTCAGGCTCATCTTCAATGTTATCTTCAACGTGTCCTTTGGACTCTTTGCAGTCGTTTTTCGATTCTTCTTGTTTGTCAGGCTCATCTTCCATGTCATCCTCATGTTCTTCAGATTTTTCTTCTCGTTTTTCAGGTTCGTCTCTCTGCTCTGATTGGTCTTCTTGGTCATCCTCTGGTTCTTCTCCCTGTTCAGTCTCATCTCTCTCTCCAGGCTCTTCACGATCGGTCTGCTCTGCGTTTTGCTCATGCTCTCTTTGATCTTTCGATTCGTCATCACTGTCATCGCTGTCGTCACTCTCTGCTTCTCGATTGATTAGAACTGAAAAGAGAAAAGTTATAAAATAAAAAGTGCTTTGCACTACAACTGCTACTTCCTATGAACTTTCTCTTGACAGTATTTATTAAAACAATAACTTTGATGGCAGCACTTTCCAAAAAAACAAATCAAGGTAGCAATGTTCATAAAGTAGTTTCTCCCACAGACATCAGCGGTATTTCTTTTGAACTTTACCGGGTAACTTTGGCATTTAGACAAGGCCGACGGCTATTAACGGGATTTAGTTTCCGGTTATTTTAAATGTTTTTTTCTTCGCCCATCCTGGCCTCCGACTGTAAGGGTTAGTTGGTTCAGAAGGCATGAATTTTTCACTCTCTTACCGAAACTAAAGGGTGGAACCTCTATTTACGCCTCGATCGAGCGACTTTACCCCCATGTTTACTTGAGCCGAATAAATGTTTCATACCTTCTTCGATGACTCGCATTTCCATGCCCTCATCTTGGCCTTTGGAAAACAGTTATAATATTTATCAAGCGTGTTCAAATGGAATTTACCTTCATAATTGTAAAATCAGTGAGCTGATCAGAGTGTCATGTCTAATGCAATAGTCAGTGTCGCCGAAGATAGTATTTTTAAGATAATCACGCAGAAGTGCAATCACCAGAAGGTTATCGCGTTGCAATGAAACTTAATCAGATTTCAAGAACAAATGAAATCTGGTGAAACAACCTTGCACGACAAACGCTAAAATCAATGAAAGCTGACATCACAGAGGACCAATCTTAAATCTGCAAATCCGCTCAGCAGGACTCTGCTTATGACTTCCCTTCAGGTTTTCTTTATGTTCCCTCAACCGGGAAAAATGAGACTGATCAAAATTAACCCTAGGCATTGCTCAAAGTGAGAAAGGAATTTCTCATGCCGATGCATGTTCGGAAGACAGAGGTTGTACAAAAAATTACTTCATTTAATGTCAATGTTAAGTATATTTTGACGTAAACTTCAGTAGAACAGGTTTGTTTTGAGAAACCGCGTCTTCAACGCACGACAAAATGATGATAGTCCTTATTTCCCAAAAACATGGTTTTCGATAAACGTACCTTCATTGTTTTGATTTCGTCCCCACTTTTCTATCAAATAGCCCAAGAACTGTTGGAATTTACGACTCAGAATACGTCGTACCAAGATGCAAGGCATCAAGAACATAAATACACAGTCAAAGACTGTATGTGGCCACTGGTGAAGCACAATTTTAATAGCATTAAAAAAGCCAGAGGTTTTATAGTGAAGTTAGCACGTAGAGTTGCAGAATATTTGTCTCACATGCTAAACAGAAAACCTGCCTCATCCCACATAATGATAAGTACCCTGTTCTACAAGAGAAAGATGATTCAGGAATATATTCTCCAATTGACATTAAACCAGTACTAAAAGTGGTAACAAATAATAGTATTAAAATAGTAATATAATGCTAACAATGTTAATATAACAATAATTTAAAGGGGCTAGCTCGAAAGACTCATGGTTTCCAATCCTCTGGTCTCCAACATGCCTATGCTTCTTTTAATTCGCTTGTCAATTATGAATAATTCTCCTATTCTATTGCAATTCCATATTTTGAGGCTCTTTTTTTTTTCATGCGTAAAAAGTATTCGGTCATTCTGCGTCCCAAAATAATCCGCAACTCCGCTGATCCACCGTTCTATTGTTTCTCAGTTCCTCCGTTCCATCATTCTTTTGAAGAACTGAGGGTATCGTATTTCGCAGCTTGCTCGCTTCGCAAATTTAGCATCTCTTTTCGGCTTACGTCGCAGATTCAAACTTGAAAATGTACTCTTCTCAAAGAAAAAATTCCTCAGAGTGTTCATTATGTACAGATCACATCTACTGAGATATTCCCGCAGAGAAAGTTTCATTTAAATTAAGCGTCGGTGGATGCCACTGTAAAATTATTTTGAGTTCTTTATCGTCAAAAGGTGATACGTTTATGCTGCGTTCTGTTTTTGCGAGGGTTTTTTTCTAGAGGAATTTTTTTTCTTTTGAAAGATCAAGGACAATCCGAAAATATCCAAATATCAAATACCGCTAAATTTCTTTCGTGCTAAGCCAAATGTTTTGCTTAAACTGGTTCATTTTACATTCTTCACGGCATGGAACAAATATTTATGAAAGTATCCTCTAAATTTCAGCTTATCAACGTTATGAAGGTTGCGAGTTATTACTTGTTTTGTTGATAAAGTGTAGAGAATGGGATTGATGGCAGAGTTAACGGGCAGAACAAAGACTGCGATCCAAACTGCCAGGTCACCAGGTGTACGGAAGGATTTTTCCAAGAGAGACCTCAATCCAATTACCACAATAGGCAGCCAGCAGACACAGTCGGTAAGAACAATGAAGAACACTCTTTTGGCGAGCGAGGCCTCCCTCCTCAGATCCC